TTTCATGTGCAGTTCAAGGTTAAATGTAAAAATTTAACCGAAAACGCGCTCTTTCTAACTTCTGTTTGTGAGAGCTCTACAATGTAGTTAGCCCTTAAGCTAGTGTTTTGGAGGTATTTCTTCCTTTTGCTTTCCTGTATCTCTTTTACTAAAAGACTTGCTGAATCCTCTCTTGTAGTATTTCATTTATATTTTAATCAGAACTCCTCACAGAGATACTCTTAATTCAGGGACCTTCTTTTCTTTTTTTTTTTAAAGCTTTTTTTAATTTTTTTTTTTATTAAAAAAAAATTTCCACCTCCTCCCAGCCTCCCATTTCCCTCCCCGTCCCTGCACTCCTCTCCCCACCCCTCTCCAGTCCAAAAAAACTGTCAGGGTTCCCTGCCCTGTGGGAAGTCCAAGATCCTCCCCCCTCCATCCAGGTCTAGGAAGGTGAGCATCCAGACTGGTTAGGCTCCCACAAAGCCAGTACACGCAGTAGGATCAAAACCCAGTGCCATTGTCCTTGGCTTCTCAGCAGCCCTCATTGTCTGCCATGTTCAGAGAGTCCAGTTTTATCCCAGGCTTTTTCAGTCCCAGTCCAGCTGGCCTTGGTGAGCTCCCAATAGATCAGCCCCACTGCCTCAGTGGGTGTGCACCCCTCATGATCCTGACTTCCTTGCTCATGTTCTCCCTCCTTCTGATCCTCATTGGGACCTTGGGAGCTCAGTCAAGTGCTCCAATGTGGGTCTCTGTCTCTATCTCCATCCACCACCAGATAAAGGTTCTATGGTGATATGCAAGATATTCATCAGTATGGCTATAGGATAGGGCCATTTCAGGCTCCCTCTTCTCAGCTGCCCAAGGAACTAACTGGGGACATCTCCCTGGACACTTGGGAGCCCATCTAGGGTCAAGCCTCTTGCCAACCCTAAGATGGCTCCCTTAATTAAAATATATACTTCCCTGCTTCCATATCCACCCTTCTATTCCTTCTTTTCGTCCACTTCCTTCCTTATGCCCTGTCTCTCACCTTTTGTTCTGTTCAGACTGCTGTAATTTCCTCTGCACCTAATGCTATTTCTCTCCCTCTTTCTGGTCATTTTCCCATTATTCTCAGGCCATATTCATCTTTCTGTAGACGTTTCAGTTTGTGCCACAAAAGAGTAAAACATTTTAATAGATTCCAATGACACTACTAAAGAACAGAATCTAGATTTTGGCATTTCAAACCTAATTCCCGCACTGTTACAAATTTTTCTCTGATCTCAATCTATGCAACTATTGTATACAAAAAGACATCTGATATTCTCAGTATTATTCAGAAAAGTAGGGTGGTATTCATGGATGAGAGCTATAGCTTTTTATTTTTTTCTGCTGATGTTTATAACTCTAACATGGAATTACCTTTGAGAACATTGGTACCTTATACTTCTTTGCCTTTTGGATAAATTTGGTGAGCAATATCCAGTATGCATCCTTAGAGAACTGGGATAGGATGTTACTTAATTATTCTTCTATACATTTTTATAGAACACCCCCTTTATATATTAGGTTTAATTGTTTTAAGTACCTCAGAGATAGCTTCTAGGAAAACAGACCAAATCACTTCGAGATTACAGACTTTGATAAAGACGTATGTGTAATATGTATGAAAGAGGACATTATAAAAAATATAGGATTTCATCTAGTGTTAAAAAGTATGAAGGATCCATTGTATATTAATTAGGTTTTCTTGATTTTTCTATTTGTAGGGTGCTCACAGTGACAGGAATAAAATGTGTGTAAATCCAGAGCACAGGTGGGATGAAGGAAGAATGGGGACTAATGCATCAGGAGGACTGAGTGGGACAGGATATGGGAGGACAGAAGAGAGGGGGAGTGTGAGGAGAGATAACTGACATTAAGACCTTTGAGAGAGTTTTTTGTTGTGAAGGTCTAATTTTATTTATTTTATTTTAATTGAGAAAAGGAAAAAAAAAACAAGTTTCTGCCTCCTCCCAGCCTCCCATTTCCCTCCCCATCCTCCCACCCTTCTCCCCCTCTCCCCACTCCTCTCCCCCTCCCTCTCCAGTCCAAAGAGCAGTCAGGGTTCCCTGCCCTGTGGAAAGTCCAAGGTCCTCCCCCCTCCATCCATGTCTAGGAAGGTGAACATTGAAACTGGCTAGGCTCGCACAAAGCCAGAACATGAAGTAGGATCAAAACCCCTTGCCATTGTCCTTGGCTTCTCATCAGCCCTCATTGTTCGCCATGTTCAGAGAGTCCGGTTTTATCCCACGCTTTTTCAGTCCCAGTCCAGCTGGCCTTGGTGAGCTCCCAATAGATCAGCCCCACTGTCTCAGTGGGTGGGTGCACCCCTCATGATCCTGACTTCCTTGCTCATGTTCTCCCTCCTTCTGCTCCTCATTGGGACCTTGGGAGCTCCAGTGTGGGTCTCTGTCTCTATCTCCATCCATCACCAGATTAAGGTTCCATGGTGAACCTAAAGAAGCTAAATAAAAAGGTGAACCCAAGGAAAAACATATAGTTATCCTCTTGCATATGGGAAGTAGACAAAATAGCCAGGGAGAAAATTGGGATCTTGGGGGTGGGGTGGGATGGGGGTAAGGGGAGATGGGGAGAGAAAAGTGAGAAGGGGAGGATGGGGGGAACTTGTGGAAACAGGATGATTGGGATAAAGGAAGGTTGGATAGGGGAGCACGGAAGCACAATTCTAAGTTAAGGGAGCCACCTTAGGGTTGGCAAGAGACTTGAACCTAGAGTGGCTCCCAGGAGCCCAAGGCGATGTCCCCAGTTAGTTCCTTGGGCAGCTGAGGATAGGGAACCTGAAATGACCCTATCCTATAGCAATACTGACGAATACTTTTGAGAGAGTTGTGTGTTTGCCTACTACTCTATAAGCTCCTTAACATATATTCATGAAAGGTATAAGTGGAAGCTACCCTAGAATTTGGAAGACAACATTCCTCTTGTCATCAGGCCTATCAAATAAAACTGAGATTCAGGGATGAGCTATCTTTTTTGGAGTTTTTTTTTGCCAGCTGTTTTCCCTCGAAACTCCCAATATTACAGGCTATTGCTACACCTCTTGGTTATGCCTATAACTTGATGGTGAGAACCTTTTGCTGAAGATACCATAAACATGGGGAAATGAAGCCCATATCTGCCTAGAAGCTTCATTCTTATTTTCTAGATTGATACCATGTCCAGTGTAGGTATGCTATCACAGGCAAATAGTAATAACCAATTTTATGTAGCTGTGGGTTATTGTTGACATGGCAGAATATACCCTTTGTTGTTGTACTGGTACAAGTCTTATGGTAGTAACCAAGTTCTTTATTTTTGGATTTTAGGCTTGCTCTACTGACAGAAATCATTCCTAGCATAGTTATTGGGAAGAGCTTCCTGAGAGTAGATGCATCACAGGCCCTGGGCAGTTCCTATGGCTATTTTTTTCTGTGAATAAATATGAAACTGACACTTAATAAATTTCCATAATAAATTATACCCATATATTAGTGAATCTTTCAACTTTCATCAGAGAATATATATAAATGGTGATTAGCAGAGACTCCCATAACTGGGTATTAGGCGGAGAACAAGAGTTTGGGAGTGCTCAATCTTAAATAAAACCTTCATACCATACCCATTCTCTGAATATTAGGATGTCATAAGGAAATTAGGTGTGGGAAGACTGTAAAAATCAGAGGTGATGTAACGACACTGAAATCATCATGTTTTGAGGACTTAGTGTGTTTACTTTTGAAATAAACTCACAGTGGTTGCAACAGTATGCCTAAGACCTGTGAAAATCAAAACTTACAAAATACAGGCATTGAGGGATGATAAGGTTATGAAGTTTGACTTCAGGTGAGGATTTTTTGTCATTTGGTGGCTATGGGGAGCAACATAGTCAGTTTCAAGGATGGGTCCCTGCAGAGAATACTTATAGTCACATAGATATCCCTACATTCATATACAGATTGGCAGTGCTGAGTGGACATATTAGGTTGCAGAAATAACAAAAAAATAAAGGTGAAGCTGTAAGAGGATAGGGATAGGAGGTTGGGGGAGAAACTGCAGAGTAAAAATTAGGGATAAACTTGGTGAAAACACATTATATAGATGTATAAAATTTTCAAACGCTAAATAAAAAACAAAATTGTATACCTCTGATAAGCCAATGTCATTACTATTGTATTAGTCCCTGAGTTCCATGGCAATAACACCTAATCTCTTGGGGGAAAATACCTTGGAAACAAGAACCTTTCCATTTTTAATGAGGTCCTAAGATTACAGTCACTTGGCTCTTATGACATCAAGAAATGCTATTTAACAACCAGTAGGCTACCTTGGAAAAGTCACCAGTGGAATTAATGATCTACTATCATGGCTTCATATAATCTCTAGAAATGATAGCTCTGACTTTGTCAGTCCAAAATTAATTTCTCTCATCACCAGAAAGGCAAATGTAGTAACAACACACACACACACACACACACACACACACACACACACACACACATATATATATACACACACACATATTCCTGCTCTTCAATGCCATGAGTACTTGCCCATCTGTGAGAGAAAAGAAGAGAGAAGAGTCAGGTGAGGTCACTGATGAGTCCTACATGCACAAGGGTAAGTACTGAATTGAATGCATTCTTGTTTTTCTTTCTCCAAACCACCTTGAGTCTTTAATATGCCTTGTGTCTTCTCTTTTGAGATTATCACTGAAACTTAAGTGAAAGATGAATGTTCAAGGTAGAAGCAGAACAGAGATGCTGTACAAGCAATTATAGTCACTGGTTTCCTGAATATTATTCTCAAAGAAATGGCTTTCACACATTTATGTTTATTTCTGTACACGAATGCCCATAAAATGTAGAAAGCAAAAGCACAGAGAAGTCTGAGCTTGAATTTTTTCATTCAATTCTGGTTCTTAATCTTGTTTTACTGGTTTAGGTTAGAGAGGGCTGGGAGTTTATTTTAATGTTACTACATTTTTTCTCATAGATATGACCCAGAGAAGAATGGCCTTTGTTAATGACTCTTCAGTGAAGGAGTTCATCCTGTTGGGTTTGACACAGCAACCACAGCTTCAGTTGCCGCTCTTCTTCCTATTCTTGGGAATCTATGTGGTCTCCATGGTGGGGAACCTGGGCTTGAGTGTTCTAATTGTTTTAAACTCTCACCTGCACACCCCCATGTACTACTTTCTCTTCAACCTTTCCTTCACAGATCTTTGTTACTCCTCTGTCATAATCCCCAAGATGCTGGTGAGTTTTGTGAAACTGAACACCATCTCCTATGCAGAGTGCATGACTCAGCTCTTTTTCTTTGCTTTCTTTGTTATAGATGAATGCTATATTTTGACAGCAATGGCCTATGACAGATATGCTGCCATCTGTAAGCCCCTGCTTTACCAGGTCACCATGTCTCATCAGGTCTGCCACTTGATGATGGTAGGTGTGTATGTGATGGGGTTTGTGGGAACCTTGGCCCATACTGGTACAGTGTTAAGTCTGAGCTTTTGTGATGGAAACATCATCAATCACTACATGTGTGATGTGCCTCCTCTCAGGAAGCTCTCCTGCACAAGTACTGCCATCAATGAGCTGGAGGTTTTCATTGTTGTGGGTATCAATGTAATTGTGCCCAGCCTGACTATCTTTATTTCTTACACCTTGATCCTTTCCAACATCCTTGGCATCCGTTCTGCGGAGGGTAGGTCAAAAGCCTTCAGCACCTGTGGCTCCCATGTAATGGCTGTTTCTTTTTTCTTTGGAGCAGCAACATTCATGTATCTTAAGCCTTCTAGTATGTCTGTGGATGATGATAAAGTATGTACCATATTTTATACCATTGTGGGCCCAATGCTGAATCCCTTTATCTACAGTTTAAGGAATAAGGATATCCACATTGCGCTGAGAAAAACTTTGAGAAGGATGTTTGTCTAAGTAGAATCTGTATTTGTTATATAGGACTGGAGTAATCACTCACTTACAGAACATTTGCTTATATGGATGAGGCCCTGGATTTGCCCCACTGTCCTGAAAAAGTTCAGTGACAACAACAACTAGAATAACATCAAAATTCAAAAATCAAAACAAAACAAATTGAAAGAAAACACTGGTGAGGATACTGTGGCATTAAAACTGTTTAACCTTATGCAAAATTAAGTTAAATATCGATGATATTTCAGAAGTAACAACAGTAAACGATAATTAACCCATCGCTATTTTATAGAAAGCATAGTTTGATAATTCTCCCAAATTATTTGTATCTTTTTTTTCAGTATTGAGGTTGAACAAACACAGTTGAACACTCATCTACCAATATGTTTCAATTTAGTCTTAGAAACCACAGGGATTTCTGTATACAAAGCAGGTGATAATATTATACTCGGAAATGATAAGGTAATGAGATCTTTTAAATGTACATTTTTGGAGATTTTTGCAGGTTGTGTGTTTGGGGAATCATATTCAAAATCTCTTACATGCTTGGCAAGTGCTCTTCCATTAATCGAAATCTTACACAGAACTGTGAGATCTTTGACTAGGGTACATCTAGAAGTCTATGTCATTGTGCCACTGAGATACTGATTTCAGTAATCTTAGAGACAGTCTCATTTACTCAGATATGAATCCTCTGGGAATAGATGTAGATTTCATTTTGAATGGTTCTCTCTATCCTTAAATCAGTTTAATAAAGAGAAGTTGATGTGTCTGTTGTGATTCCAGTGCTTACAGACTAAAAATGAAACAGTTGTGGTCATTGAGGATAAAGGTATCTTACATTAAGTTTTTCATTTATGGACTTGAGGGCTAGAATGTATGTATAAAGTCGTGCTATGTCTTCATTGGGAAGAATTTGACTAATCAGTTTTAGCTGTCATTTCTAAAGAAATTTTGTCTCTTATTTCTTAATAACTACATAATCTTAATTTATAAGTAGTCACTTTTTCACTTTATTGATTTTAATTTCATAATATAAAATGATCAGGTTTACTGAAAAGCAAATATAAACTGAGAGAACATCTATTCTATTTTAGACATCAAGATATCTAGGATTTGGTCTAACATTACGATTGTAGATCTGAAGAAGACTGAAGATGCTTATGATCTCAGAAGGGTACAGAATAGCAAGGTGGTGATAAAACTAAATTTTGTATTTGTGAATATAAAGTGGAAAAATAATACACAAAAGCTTAAAAGAATGTATTATAGGGAATAGAGAAATGACTCAAAGGTTACAGGCATTGACTGATCTTCCAGAGGTCCCGAGTTCAATTCCCAGCATCTACATGGTGGCCTATAATCATCTGTAGTATGATTTGGTGCCCTCTTCTGACGTGCAGGAATAGATGCAGGCACAACACTGTATGCATAATAAATAAATAAAGAAATAATTTTAAACAAATGAAAACAATGCAAAAAATGTGATTTTACTGAGAATACCCGTCTTACTATCTTGTGTGGGCTGGTTGAAAGACTTTTTCTGAGGAGGTGGCAGGTGTCTTGACTGAAGGCATGATTGTCAACAGAACATCTAAGTAAAGGGGGGAACTGAGTAGAGATTCACAGTTAGGAACAATCTTGGTGAGGACAGGAAAGATTTTGGGAAACAGATGAATTTTTTGGAAGAAAGCTGAGCAGAAGAGTGTGCATACAAGTGTGAAGAGTGATATTAACATGAGGTTGCATTATGCTTGGCAAGGGAAAAGAATGCATGTAAATAAGTACAAAAAACTCTGAGAGTTATCAATCAAACATCTGCCAGATTTTCCTTCCTTCTCCCATATTCTAAATCATGGTCAATGATCATTTATAACCAAAGTAACTTCTAGGAAAAATTGTATTGAAATTCATAAAAGAATAAATTTAAACAACAAAAATTTGCATGTCTTGCAGGAAAGTGCTGGTGACTAGAGCCTTGAGGCAGTGCTTCAAAGTTGCAGACCTGGGAGTCGTCAATCTCTAGGTCCTCATGGCTCTGTAAACTCTGAAGTTAGGTTAGTCACACAATGTATATTTTAGCCTTGAGGAGGACTACTAGAGAGATGAAGGAAATTTTGGCATATCTCAATTTCCTACTGCCTTTCTCTGACTCTCTAGTATGTCTCTGTGTGAAATTTAATAGGAGCAATCTGATCCAAAGGTAAGAGAACAGAGGACATAGACTGTGGGAAGGTGGAGATATCAATCTTATGCCCTGTTCATTCACCCCAGAGCAATCTGCAGGCTCAATTGAAGAGTGTTTTGGGGAAAAGTCTATGAAAAGTTACTCAAGCAGTCCCCATCATCATAACCCACCAAATATCATGATATGTATAGCACATCAAAGTGAGGGAATACGTACTACATTGTTCACCTTTATAATATCCAAGTTTAATGATTTCAAGTTAACTAAAATCAAGAAAAGCTGAACAGTTTAGTGAGATTTTAAAAGCATGTTAAATTTGTGTTCATTAAATCACTTAGAAGTCCTGAAAATGTACATATATGTCCACTTGGTGGTATTCTGACCTATTTTTTCCTTTGAATTTTAAAACAATCTACGATATAGGGCAAGTTTGGAAGTTAAATGATGACCGGTCTCAATGCAAAAACATATGTCACTTCAAAGATATCATTTATTTTGGAATGACAATAGTTTGAAACATGGATTCAGGTTCCTCCAAACGTCATGCTTGCAATGTTGTAAGAATTTTATGGAGGCTTTTATAGTAACAGAACTATTGAAAGTCACAAATCAATGCACCTTGAATATATTAGCAGAGTCATAACACAGGGGAATAAAAGGGGAAGGAACTTCTCTCTTATAGCCCTCAGATGCCATCTGCTGAAAATTTTTGCCTCTGAGTTGGTAGAAACCATTGGTTACATAGTAAGTAGATTTTTGCTTGAAAGTTACAAGAATGTGAGGGTAGGGTGAAGGGGTTAGTGAAGGAGAACAAACTCTAAGATGTAAATGGAACATCTACATCACACTTCCTCACCCCAAGGTACAGGTATCTTCTTGAAAGATGGGGAATACCGACTGTAAGGGTCAGAGGGAGTGGACATTGGCAAGTAGACAGGATCTAGTTGATGTGACAAGGAAATACAGCAGGGCACTCTACTAATGGCCTGTATTCCAGTGTGAGATTTGAATTTAATCAATCTATCCTTCATTAGTCTCTGATATATTTCTGACTCCAATCAAAAACTACTGATAAACTTTGTCTCTGAGAATAGTGCTATTTCATATGTAAGATGCCTGATGCTACTGGTTCTCTGTCACTTTTTTTGGTCATCTTTGAACTCTACATGTTGTCCTCAATGGCCTATGATTGTATGTAGGTGTCTGCAGACAAATGGTTTATTAAGTGACCATATCCTCTCAGGTTTCTTCTTTTCTAGCTTCCTGACTATGAGATGCGGTTTGCTGAGCCTCTGCCCACAAAACCTTCATGCTCACACTGACCTACTGCAATGCCAAAGTCATCAACCATTACTTGTTTGACCTTCTGCCCCTCCTTCAACTTTCTTGCTACAGCAGCTATATCAATGAGGCTGTAGTTACCAGAGATGAGATGTGGGTATTAACATCATAGTCCTCAGCTTGACCATTTTTATTTTCTATGTTTTCATCCTTGCCAACATTCTAAACTTCAAATCCACACAAGATCAAAAGCCTTCAGTATCTGTAGATCTCCTATTTTTGCCCTTTGTCTTTTCCTTGGGTCCAATAAATTTCTTGGTACCAAAACACGTTAGTAGAATAGAACATTAGATTAAGAAACAAATCCTTAGTTATACATTCAAATACTTTCAGGAAAAAAATATTTCCATCGGGGAAATAAATCTTCATTTTTTGGTATAGTTGACAAACACAAATTAAGCTCCAGGTTTGTTTTGCTCACTCATTGTTAGTTTTATTTTATGTTAAATAGAGAAAAACATGTTGTCAGCTGGGCAGTGGTGGCGCACGCCTTTAATCCCAGCACTTGGGAGGCAGAGGCAGGCGGATCTCTGTGAGTTCGAGACCAGCCTGGTCTACAAGAGCTAGTTCCAGGACAGGCACCAAAACCACAGAGAAACCCTGTCTTTAAAAACCAAAAAAAAAAAAAAAACATGTTGTCTGATGGAAAATGATTAATGGGAAGACTTGGAGGAGTTAGGGAAGAGAAAGGATATGATCAAAAAATATGAAAATCTTAAAAGTAAAACTAAAAAGGATTGCTAATGAAGAAATTGAATTATTTTGTATTTTGATATCTAATTATTTGAGTTTTTAAAATGTTTTGGAGATTAGTCCTCTGTCAGACATGGGGTTGGTCTTTTCCCATTCTGTAGGATTCCATTTTGTCTTATTGATTGTATCCTTTGTCTTACAAAAATTTCTCAGTTTCAGAAAGTTCCATTTATTAACTGTTGTTTTCAGAGTCAGTGCTACTGGTGTTATATGTAGATAATGGTCTCCTGTGCCCAATTTCTCTTCTGTGAAATTTAGTGTGCCTGGATTTATGTTGAGGTCTTTAATAGATTTGGATTTGAGTTTTGTGCATGGGGATATATTTGGATCTATTTTCATTCTTCAACTTGTTGACATTCAGTTTTCCCAGTACTATTTGTTGAAAATGCTTCATTTTTCCCACTGTATAATTTTAGCTTCTTTGTCAAAAATCAGGTGTTCATAGGTATGTGGACTAATATGAGGGTCATCAATTAGATTCCATTGTTTCACCTGTCCCTTTTAATGTCAATTTCAAGCTGTTTTTTATTTCTATAGCACTATAGTAGAGCTTGAAGTCAGGGATGGTGACACCTCCAGAGGTACCTTTATTTTACAGGACTGTTTCAGCTCTTCTGGGTTTTTTGTTTTTCCATATGAAATTGGATATTGTTCTTTTTGAGGTCTGTGAAGAATTGTGATAGAATTTTGATGGTGATTGTATTGAATTTGTGGATTGCTT